CTGTGCTTCTTGTTGAGTGTTTGTGTATAAGTCCGACCAGAGCGGATGTTTGTTTCCTCGTTGTTTGAGTCAAAAACTCAAATTGGCCCTTTCATTCCGAAGGCCTCATATCTTTTCTTTGTACTTCATAATATCCCCATCGAAGTGTGTATATCGAGTCAACCTGAAAGTCTCATTATGACTGAATACGCTACATTTTGGCCTGCCTTTCTCTTTCGTTTTCACTTTGTTTTATAGGTCAGGTCGAAACTGGCCTTTGAGCACTGACATAACTTTTTCTTCTCGTAGTTAAATGTTAACCTTACACAAGACACACAAGTGCTCACGTATCTGTATTGAACGTCAAGGACTGCCAGGACTTCTGGGGAGCTTTAACAGAACAACAGAACAGGGTGTGGCGTGTACTAAGAGATTATTGTCTCTGTGTGGATGACTGAGTGCTTAAGTGTGTGTTTGTGTGTGCGCGCGTTATGCAATTTTCCATTGCATGTCATAACTGCATGCATAGTGCGTGACGGTCCAGCTGAGCCGTGATGCATAAACTGATCATCTCCATAGTATGCAGTTCCACACACAACCATTTGCATTCGTTGAAACCACACATTTATTCAAACATGGCTCGAAGGAGGCCACCCACGATGATACAATCCCATTAAAACTGAATTTGCAATGCAGAAACCTATGTCTGCTACACTCTGTGGCAGTGCATTTTAATTCCTCATTTAGACTAATTTACTCTCAAGCCTTCCTGTTTGGTTGCAGTGATGGCAACAGGCATAATGAGCTCATCACATGGCTTGGTCATTGGTCTGGAGACCCCTGCAGCTGGACCAATCACAGGACGATTTGATAACGCTGCCGTCGGAAGTAGTCTGAACGAGCTCCGCGATTGGCTGGATCCGTGAAGGTATGGAATGTGTAAAATGAAAGAGGAGTCGGTGAAGTGGATGCGTCTGGTTTCATTTTGCGCATTTCTTGTCTGAATGCTAAAAGAGAATGAAACGTACTCAGACCTGGAAGTGCGTTTCCCTCCCGTTTATTATTGAAGTTAATGTCATCCCTGTTTGCACCGCTACCAGTTTTAGTGGGGGTTTCCAACAGGGCTGATGTTAACGTACATAATAAACGGGAAGGAAACTGGTGCACGCATGTTTGCGCCATTTGCATAAAAACACAATAAAATACTTTTTTTTTTTTTTTTTTTTGCATCTTCTCAATGTTTTTAAACAATTTAAGAATTTTACATATATTTTTTAAAAGCGGTATACTTTCATCTAACCAACAACTAGGCTTTTTGCAGCCTTGCAATTCATAAATGTCCTGCTGAAAGTTGATTTATTTATTGGCTCGCTATTTTTTTGTTTTACTCATTTATATCTTCTCTTTTATTTCACATTGGCAATAACGCTTTGCTCAGATCGACTGCACAAGTATTTAGACATCGCGAATTGTTAATATTATCGAGTTTGCCAACCTACTCCCTTCGGCTGACCCTCCCTCTGAATCCCATTGGCTGATGCAGTTTCAGGCTCGACCAGCTGTTTCTTGTTTTCCCATAGCGCGATTGGTCCGAGCGAGCTGTCGATCAAAGGGACTTTGACAGATGACTCCGCCCTCATCACCGCTACCCGAATACTGATAGGCTACTGTACCCTTTTGTGAACGCTGATTGGCTGAGGGCGCTGGTTGTCGAGGCTTAGGGCTTCATTCACCATTTTGCGACTGTAGAGTACCCTGGAACCTCAACGGCTGGACTTTTTCTCATTTGCGGAAGAAAAACACTCTCTGCAAAAGCATTCTCGGGGATTCCGTGGTTTTATAGGCTTGGTTTTCGCAGCGACGGCACTGTAAATGTTCACGGGGTGAGTTGAAACCTTTCATCTGCAGTACTGCAGTGTTCTGCCTATATATTTAATGCTGTGTTTTGCCTTTACGTCGCGGATCCATCTACAATGCTTCGCCGTCAGTTGTTTAATTTTTCTTAGTGGATTGTATAAAATGGCGGAGTACGCTTTTAACATACACACACACGTTGAAAGGGAGGGGTGGAGGTGCACAGTCAGCCTAAAAACTTTTTTTCCTGAAAATATTTTGTGTGACACAACAGCTACAGCTTCAACAAACTGCTTTCGTGTATTCCTTTACCTTTCAGAGACTGTCACTGCTTATATCCATAGCTTTTTACGTAAAGCTAACGCGATTATTTTGTTCCTTAAACTTGACTATATTATAATAATATGTTTTCAGTTGCAGTCAGTAAATTTAATTCGGATGTTTTCATATTTATACCCTGTAGGCGCATATATTTGAAAAGGATTGTTTGTTTTTTTCTCATGTGTATTAATATGGGTACCGTCGCCCTGGATTCGGGAGCCTTAGGGAGACGGGAACTGCTCTGCGGCCTTGTGTTATGGAGGAGGCCTACACCACTCGACTGTGTCGTAGGTGGTTGTAAGCGTAGAGTAGGGCACTACGACCAATAAAAGCGCTTGACACAGATACGCCGGTGTACTACTCAGCAAAACTTTCGCAAGTCGACGACAGCAGCACCATTGTTGATGGCAAACAGGGCTTTTACTTTGTTTCAGGACATTTGTTTTTATTTGGAGTCTTGCTGTTGCATGGGAACATTTATAATTGTGCATTTGGCGAGTCATTATAAGATTGAGTTGTTATAATTACTTGAAGGGTCTGTGAGTGCAGTGGGCAGGCCGAGAAAGTTAAATAGCTATTTAGTGCATTGCATATAAACTTGATTTTTTTTGCCAGTTCATAAAGTTCAACAGTTT